GGGCAAGCAGTAGAGAGGCGGGGGGATGGTCACCCGGCCCCCACCCCACCGTCACCCGGATGGGCAGGGATCCAGCGCTGTCTCCAGCTCACCGGCACTGCTCAGGAACAGTTGAATAATTTTTATAAGCAGTTTTCTTACGAGTGTTTTTAAAGCATTTCTAGCAGAGGTGTGTAGGACTTTGGGGGGGGGGGATGTGGGGGGAGGTCTGTCCCACGCTGTTTCCTGTATCCTCCCCCCTCACAGTGCCAGCAGCCATTAAACCCCTCACCGGCCCACAGCACGTGGTGGTGGCGTGGCTCTCACGGTGTGGGCATGGGGATGTGTGTGCGTGCCAACCGCAGGAGGCTAAAGAATATGCATTTATTGGAATTATTGCTAAACAACTCTTCAACCCGAGGAGAGAAAAAAAATAACCAAAACACAGTAGGGCTTTGCACGGGGGTGGGGGGGGTGGCTGGACACTGCATACACTGGTGGGACACAGACACACACACCAGGGAGCCACGTATCTGTGGTGCCACTGGCATGAGACCCTCCACCTCATCCCGTGGGGCAGAGCCTGCTGCTGTAACCCCCGGGGCTGCCTCCCAGCAGCAAAGACCCCCTCCTGCTCCCCCCACATCGCAGCTTTTTGGTAATGGGAATGAGGTAGCTGGGGGTGGAAACGGGACTGCAGGGAGGGGGTGGCACTTCCACACTGCAGGAGGGGTCTGGGCTGGCTAATGTGTCAGGCTCCATCCTGCCCCGGGGCTGGAGGGAGCTGGGGATGGGAGATGATGGCAAGTCTGGGGCAGGGGGAAGCACCCTGCTACCTCCTCAGAGCCAACCTGCAGCCTTTGGGAATGGGGCAGAGGGTGCCCTGCCCCAGGGAGCATGGTGGGACCTGCAGTGTGTGCAGGGGGGGGTGGCTTAGGGGTCCCAAGCTCAGGGTGGGAGGGGCTTTCTAGGACCCCACCTGGCACAGGGCAGGCTGGGGGAAGCACTGCCAGGGGGGCCGCCCAGCTCCCCACCCCACAGCAGGGAGGGTAGAAAGCCAAGACAGGGGTCCCAGACCTGGTGCTGCCCCAGTCCCTTTCTCCCCCCACCCCAATGCAGGTGTAACCTCCCCCCCAGGGCCATGCTGCCCCAGCAAAAGCCTTTTCCTGAGCCCTGGAGCAGCTCGGGGGGGATAAGGAGGTGGAGGGGTGATAGTGTTAGCCTGTGCTCAGCTGCCCCACAGGTCGGGGGACCACACTCTGGCCCATAGCACCCCCCACCCCGAGCACCCCCACAGGCCCCCGCGCACAGACCACACACATTACAACGGGTTTACAAAGCACATTGGTTGAAGGAAACTGAACTCAGTGAAAAGATAAATCCAAGCACGCGGCACGTCTGAAAAAAATAAATTACTTTCAAAATACCATCATTTGCTCAAGTTGAACAGGGTTTGCCTTCCTTTAAATAACACCGCTCGCTGCAGCTGCTCTAGACCCAGAGCTGCCGCCTCCTCAGAGCGTCGCCATTAGTTTGTAAGAAAATATTCTGTTTTGTATGTGCCCCGTGGCCTCGCGCAGGTTGCCACAGCTCTGCCTGTGCCAGCTTGCAGCCAGTGCCAGGGCAAGTAGGACACTCTCGCCTGTCCGGGAGAGGGGGAAGAGCAAGAAACACAACCCCCCCTCCTCCCATGGGCAGAGGGGCTTCTGCCCCATAGGGAGCTGGGGGCCGGCTGGGCTGCAGCCCCCGTGCAGCCGTTGGGGGGGACCCAGGAGGTAGAATAATTAGTAATGCTCATCATCTTCTGGGATGTGCCTTCCCCTGCCTGCAGCTTCAAGTACACTGGACACTGGAGTAGAGGCAAGGTCCTGGCTTGCCCCTGCACCATGGGGTAGGGGCAGGAGAGCTGCAGGCAGCCGGTGCTGGGCTTGGCCCTCCCTCTCCAGGGGTGGTGGGGAAGGGCCCCAGCCAGGGTGAGCTCTGAGGCTCTGCGGGGAGCCCAGCCCTCACCGCACCAGCCCGTGGCAAGCGATGACTGCCACCCCGTGTTGCCTCCAGCCTCTACCCCAGCAAAGCTCTTTGGACATCCCTGTTTTCTCCTTCCCCAAGCTCAGCAGGAGCCCCCCCCTCTCCCAGGGCAGTGGCACAGGTCTGGCTGGGTGCTGTGGCCCCTCTTACCACGCAAAGTCCCCGCAGGCCCCTGGCAGCCTTCCCCAGCCTCAGCTACAACATGTTGTAGTATGCCATCTCCTTCATGGCCTGCTCGGCCAGGGCATGCTCATCTGGAGGGTTGCCCACCCCTCCGTAGCCGTAAGAGTTCTCCTCCTCAAAGTCATCCATCTCCTGCTGCCCATCCAGCTCAGCATGGTCGGCCCCAGCCAGGTCCATCATGGGATCTAGGATTTAGCACAGGGACATGCTATGATGAAGGCTCGCAGCCAGCTGTGCCCCTCCTCCCCAGGCAGCGTGGGATTAATGCCTCAAACCCCCCCAGGAGCTACAGCAATGTTCGAGCCAGGCTGTTGTGGAGGGAGAGAAAAGGGCAGGAATAGGGGAACCCACTAAGTCACCCCAGGATGCGCTTGAGGTGGGTATTGAGCTGCTGGGGGAATCGAAGGCACAGATCTTGTCCCCAGCTCCGTCCATGCAGAGCAGGGCAGGTCCTGCTGCAAGTCAGGTGATGGGGGATCTGCTCTGACACTTCGCCGAACCCCGTGGCAGGAGCAGCACCTGTCCCCACAAAGTGCCTGTGGGTGGAGGGGGCTGCCAGGGATAAACCAGCAGCATTCAGCTCCCCACCACCACCCTGCAAAACCCTTTTGACCAAAGTCACACTCACAGCGTCACCAGAGGGCACCGTCCCGACAAGATGCTGAAGCCTCAATGGCTCCTCAAGGAGATTGTTAACATATTCACACTGAGAACAATCAGGCCCTGGAATAATCTCCCCAGGGAAGCCCCCAACATTGGGCACTTTAAGATTCAGCTGGACGAGGGCTGGGCCAGCATGTCTAGGCCAGGCTTTGGTCAGAAAGGTTGGACCAGCTGATCCTTGAGGCCCCTTCCAACCTGCCATTCTGTGATTATTTTAACTTATTTATTATGCAGGTTATTTGTATTTGTACCAAGTTTATTAAGCTTACTCAGCTCCTGCTCAGTACCTTTCCATGGCCTTCATGGGAGGACGGGTGCTGGTGGGGAGGTGCCAGTGGGACAAGTACGCTGAGGGCAGCCCCTGGGCAACGGGACACGAGCTCACCAGGGCCGCCGCAGCATGGCCCAGCTCCCAGGGCAAACTGCCAAGAGCCAGGCGCTCCCAGTAGGGAAAACGACAGCTCCTAGTCTGCAACGGGTGCCCAGTTGTAGCCTGCACCCACCTTGGCTGTCCAGGCTGATGTCCATCACCCCGTGCTTGACCTTCATGTGCCGGCTCAGGTTGCCCTTCAGGTTGAACTTGCTGGAGCAGTAGGGACACTTGAAGGGCTTGCTCCCCGCATGCAGGTGCATGTGACCCAGCAGGTTGTACATGCGGTTGAAGGATTTCCCACAGACCTGCCGGCAGCATCCTGGGGGTCAATGGGGGCTCTCCTGCAGACCCCTACACCCCCCTCAGTGCCCACCCACTGCTGCAGGGACATGGGCTTTTCAGAGCAGACCTCACCCCTGGGGTCCCCTTTCACTCCCACAAGTTATGGGACTGCTTCCCTCCTCCCCTGCAGCAGTGGGAGGCCTCAGGGATGCTGTGCTGGTGTTATGGGAACCCCAGCAGGTCTCAAAGAGGCACTGATTGTCCTTCTGTGCTAGCAGCGCCTGTGCCCTGCCCATAACAGCTGCTCCCCACCATGCAGCTCTGAGCAGACGCCTCAGGACAAGCTGTTTGCCCAAGCAAACAGAGGGAGGCATCGCAAAACTGCTTTCCTGGGACCAAGGACTCAGCCCAGCCTGGACGGGTTTCTCTGGGAACTCAGCGCACTACGGCCTGGGTGAACCCTCTCCCTGGATCTGCTAAACAACCCACGCCCCCTTCCCCCCCCCACCCCTGATCCCCA